AGAGCCCCTGCCTAGAATCCCCCAGTGAGGGGCTGGGGGCGTGGCTCAGTGGTAGAGCCCCTGCCTAACTTGTGCAAAACCCTTGATGCCTTCTCCAGGACCAGAAAGAAGAAGGGCTTAAGGGTATGAATAAGGAGTCGAGTTTTATTTCTTTGTTACTTAATTATCTAAGTGTTTATGCCTAAGTATATGTATGTGTCCCATATTTGTGTAGGAACCCCCAGAGGTCAGAATAAGGTATCAGATCCCCTGGGACTGGCATTACAGGTACTTGTGAACTGCCATTTTGGTGCTGAGTTTCGGAGCCCATGTCCTCTCCAAGAGCAGTAAGCGTTATTCACTAACCGCTGAGCCATCTCTCCAGCCCTGAGGAGTAGCATTTGAAGAGAGATCTTAAAACAGACAGACACTGAAACCTCTAGGAGCTCCAGCCTCAGAGGGAGAGAGAGACATGGACAGAGAGAAGAAGGTGACTCAAGTCACCAAGAGGGGAATGGGCACAGAAGAAGCAGGTCAGAAGCAGAGGTGGGAAGGGTTGGACAGGTGTAGCTGAGGAGAAAGGACCGGGGAGTGTATTGCACAGAAGAAAATGTGTAAGCTAGGGCACTTAGTAGATCTGCAGAAACAGAAAGCCTGAGAGTGAGAAACAGCAGGAACGAGGGAGGGAGTTAAAGGGAAAGAGGGAGAAGGAGAAAGAGAGAAAAAGAGAGAGAATATTCAGCTCGTGGAGAATCCAGTCTGAGCACATAGCAGCTATTAAGTAAGTCATGTGTAGACTGACTATGTGAGGTACGTAGAACCCAGAGGCAGAGAGAGGGTGAAGGAGACAGGCATGTGACAATGCCTGCCCTCACAGTAACTGTATATATTCAGAGGGATTCAGGTTGGTGACAAAGGGAGTTGGCCACACAGGAAAGGAGGCCTGCATCAGACAGCAGAGGGGCAAGTAGAAGTTGCATAGCACTTGGTCAGGACAGGGAGAGGGGAGATAATCAGAAATGCTCACTGAGTGAATGAATGAAGGAGGGAAGGCAAAAGTGAGCCTGGGAGAGACACAGTAAGAAAGACTGACAGGAAAGGGAAGTATGGGAAGTTAAGCTAGTGTGGTGGCAGGTGCCTGGACGTTTGTGACAAAGTCTCGCAAGATGGCTCGGTGGGTAAAAGTGCTTGCTGCCATCCTGAGGACCTAAGTTTGAGCTCCTGAACCCACGTGGTGAAAGGAGAGAAGCAATTCCTGTAAGAGTCCCCTGACCTCCACTCATGCACTGTGAACATGAACACTCACCACACCTCCATAAAGAAACAAGAAGTGAGGGCTGGAGAGATGGCTCAGCGGTTAAGAGCACTGACTGCTCTTCCAGAGGTCCTGAGTTCAAATCCCAGCAACCACATGGTGGCTCACAACCATCCGTAATGAGATTGGATGCCCTCTTCTGGTGTGTCTGAAGACAGCTACAGTGTACTCATAAATAATAATAAAAAATAATCTTAAAAAAAAAACAAACAAAAAAAGAAACAAGAAGTGCCAGGGCTGCCTAGGAGACAGTGGATTGGAGTCAGCCTGGCTAAGATAGCATGGCCTTGAATTAAACTAAAATACACGGTTGGAGGGTAGCTCTGTGTAGAGCGCTTACCTAGCATGTGCCAGGTCCTTGGCTCCAATCCCAAGCACCCCTGAGTATGGTGGCTGAGACAGGGGAGTTGCCTTAATCATGAGACCAGGTGGGCTACTTTCACGCCAGCTTGGGCTATAGAGTGAGACTCTCAAAAAGCCAACCCAAATAATAATAACAGAAAGATTCTGAGGCTGAGAAATCGTATCTCAAGAAGATGTCGGTCAGGTTTTAGGGAACGGCTAACAGTAAAGGGGGGCCTCTCTCCACAGAGGGGGGCAACCCCAGGGCAGATCCCAGCCTTGGGGGTGACCGGGTCCCCCTGGCCTCACAGGTCGGTGACACGGAGTTATTACCGAGGGGCAGCTGGAGCCCTGTTGGTTTACGACATCACCAGGTAAGTGCGGGGCCTGGGTGGCATGGGAGAGACTGTGCATGGATGGTCCCACTCCTGGGCTGCCTCCCTTTTCTGTCTGTTCTTCACAGCCGGGAGACATACAACTCGCTAGCTGCTTGGCTGACTGATGCCCGGACGCTAGCCAGCCCCAACATCGTGGTCATCCTCTGTGGCAACAAGAAGGACCTGGATCCTGAGCGTGAGGTCACTTTCCTAGAGGCTTCCCGCTTTGCTCAGGAGAATGGTGAGGGTTGTCCTGTGGGTCAGGTGGTGGATGGAAGGATAGCCAGTTCAGTGTGGTCCGTGTGCCTCTTAGCTTTGGCTGGATGGTGGTACCTTAAACATGGAGGCTTCAGCTTTGTGATGCTAAATGCTGAGTCATGTGACTGCTGTGGTCTTCAGGTTCAGCTGGAAGGGGGGTGAACAATCTGCCAGCCTAGGGGTCTGCCCATCACACTCAGTTCTTCCTGGTACAGCGTAGTTGCTGATAAACTTCCACCACAGTGGGGAGGCAGCGTAAAGCAGCGGTTTAAGGTAGATACCGCAAATTCGGGCGGCCATAGAGAGCTTTGTAAATAAAGGAGATGAACCAGGTTGGGACCTAAGGGTACAGGCACTGATGCCTGGGAGAGGACAGAAACTGACCTGCCCTGTCAAGGCTGGCGGGGACATGCTCTGTGGTAGATCACTTGCTTAGAGTCCAGTGAAGGGCTGGGAGGTGTGGCTCAGCCTAGCGTGACTGGGGCCCTGTTTTTAGTCCCTGGCACCAGGATGCTAGATGGAGGTGGAGGCAGGAGCATGAGGAAAGGGTTATTATAAACCCACTTGAAAACATGGGCTGTCTAGACTGCTCGCGTCTGCTGACTTGGGATCTGTCTATGTCCCATTTTTTTCTTTCTTTCTTATTTTTAAGTTTAGCTGTTATTTTTGAGCCGGAGCTTTGTGTAGCCTAGGCTTGCCTCAAGCTCTCTATGCCTGAGGATGACCTTGAATTCCTAATTCTGCTTCTCTAGTGCTGGGATTGCAGGCATGAACGACCATCCGTGCCCAGGTTATATGGTGTCATGAGTCATGAGTCAGCTAAGCACATCTGCAGCTCTGGATAAAAAAGTTTATCCATTTATTTATTTATTTATTTATTTATTTATTTATTTTTGAGGCTAGCTTTAGACCCACTGTGGTGCCCAGGCTGACCTATCTGTGTTGTGTCTCTGCCTCCTTAGGATTGCAGAGCGTGCACAAGCATATCTTACTCACTCCCTCCTGTTGTTCAGACCCCAAGGTTACAAGAGGTTTTGCTGCCAGGCAGATGTGGGTTTAACTCCTGAGTACAACTTGCCCAGTGTGAGGCCTGCCACGTGACCTCTGGTGGGCTGTACTCAGTGAGTCGGGGGACCCTGACAGAGTTGCGAGGCTCACAGTGCCGTGGTAGAGGCAGGGAGGCAAATCCACTTGCTGACAGTGACATCAGAGAAAAGTCAGGGGAGGCAGAGGAGGCTGGTGGAGCCCAGAGGGGCCTCCTGACTCAGGCCGGGTCCTCAGTGGGGGATTTCTGGGGAAGGGCCATGGGAATGGAGTCTCAAAGGAAGAACTGGGTGAGTGTGAGGTAGGAAGACGGCATTCCCTGCAGGGGAATCTTGTGTCAAGGCCTAAGGTGAAGGCAAGCACAGGTAGAGGTTTTGAAGGGCCCAGAGTTGGAGTGGAGGGTGGAAACTGATGGCGGCCCTGTCCCTCCAGAGCTGATGTTCCTGGAGACCAGCGCTCTCACGGGTGAGAATGTGGAAGAAGCATTCCTGAAGTGCGCGCGCACCATCCTCAACAAGATCGACTCAGGTGAGGCCCACCTGCTCTGTGTGAGACATGGGGGAGCGGGGTGAAAAGGCATGGCCCCATGGGCTCCGAGGAACATGCCTGACCTCTCCTCTCCCACAGGTGAACTAGACCCGGAGAGGATGGGCTCAGGCATTCAGTATGGTGACATATCTCTTCGCCAGCTGCGGCAGCCTCGCAGCGCCCAGGCCGTGGCCCCTCAGCCCTGTGGCTGCTGAGACGCGCAGAGCCAGGTGGGATGCTAGGGGCTCAGGAGGCAAGTTGGTTTCCTGTATTGGGTGGGGTGGGACACAGAACGGCCATCAAGACTTGGAAAATGTGACAAGAGAAACTGACAAAGACACAAAAGGAGCCATCTTCCCAGCCCCGGGGAACCCTTGGGCCCTCTGTACCCCAGGCCTCTACCAGCCGCAGCCTGCACCTGATCCCTTTATTCATGGTTCTCACTGCTACAATGAGCCTCTGTCGTGTACTAAGCCCTGGTGAAGCCTCTGGGGAGATAGCAGTGGGTAAAACAGACCAAAACCAACCAAACAAAAATTCATGTTTGCATGGTACCTCCATTGTCGTGGGAGAAGACAGACCATAGACGAAATATGTATATAAATGACACAGTAGTTGGGGGAGAGAGCTGTGGAGAAAACCAGCCTGGTAAGGAGGATAGGATGAGGGCTGGTGAGATGGCTCAGTGGTTAAGAGCACTGACTGGTCTTCTGGAGGTCATGAGTTCAAATCCCAGCAACCACATGGTGGCTCACAGCCATCCGTATTAGGTCTGATGCCCTCTTGTGGGGTGTCTGAAGACAGCGACAGTGTATTTACATACAATAAATAAATTTTAAAATAAAAAAAAAAAAAAAAAAAAGGAGGATAGGATGAGGTATGCCCTTTTACACGGGGCACCAGGAAAGGAGACATGTGAGCAGAAACTTAGAGCAAGGGAGTCAGAGAGCGGATGAGAACAGTAAGTGCACCCTGGCCCTGCATGGTGTGGCCAGAGTGGGGACGTGTGTGCACTAAGGTGCAGCGTAAGGTGGGGGACTGAGCAGTGAGTCCTGACAGCCCTGGGACAGTCTCTCATGCCCTGTATGCTGTAGTAGTCATAGGGAACAGAGCAGAACAGAGCAGAAGAGGGAGAGGATCAGACTCTGTGTGCCACAGCCTTCCTCTGCCTGGTTGGAAGGAGGAGACTGCGGAGCAGGGGGATTGCCCGGGACTGGTGTGAGGAGGGGTGGGGGACTTGGGATGGAGTTCAAGTGATGGAGTGCTTGCCTAGCGTGCATGCCAGAAGCCCAGGTTCCCATGCTGAGCGAGCACTGGGTGGACTGGTGGTGATGGTGGTGGTGGCCTTGACTGTAGAGTGAGCTGGAGGCCAGCCTGGGACACATAAGAGCGTGTTGGGGATAGGGAGCAATAAGCATACAGCCGGGGGGCAGGCAGAGGTGGGTGCTGAGAAGTGGCTGGCTTCTCTCTTCCCCATTTTCTCTCTCCAGGCTTGCTCCCTTTAGTGGCAGTCAGTGACTGTCTAAAGCTCAGATCTGACCATGGCTCCTGGGGTCTGTGGGACTGTGCTGAAGCTGCTGAGCCCAGTGTGGTGCTTGTCACCCTGCCCCCAGGGGCTTACACCTTCACTTCCCTACCCCTTTCACTGTTGCAGTCATAGAAAGTTCTTTCTGTTTCTTTGGCTCTGTTTTTTTTTTTTCAGGCCATGTTTTCTTCCCCTTTGCCCCCATAACCTCCTCCCAGAAGCTTTGTTGGTTTTTCCATGCATGGTCCAGACTCCAGGACAGACCTGCAGGACCCTGCAGGGTTGGTCCCCTCCTCACCTCTGTGACTGTAGGTGTCCTTGCTAATTCTCCCCTCCCGGTCACTGGCATGTCTCCCGTGGCTGTGGGGAGAAGTCCTTAGGCTTCATCCATCTTGCAGGGAGAGCCAGCATGGTTCTTGATGGAATGCCTATGGGATTTGGAAGTGAGAAAAGTCCAGGGTGAACCCTTTAGCCAGTGGTCTTCCTTCCTGGCGTCTGCACTTGCTGGTCTGAACCAGTTTCCTCCTCTGTAGAATGGGGTCAGTCATGGTCCCTGGGAGTGTGGAGGAGTGTGAATGAACGAACTGTAGAGTACGTAGAAGAGGACCTAACATTTGCTGGAGGCTCCAGCCAGAGTGCTGGCCATTGCTTTCCTTCTTGCCCATCTTAAAGACCCAGGGAGATTACGTGTGCTGGCTCTGTAGCTCTGTGTAGTACGCCGGTTGCCCCACATGCTGGTGGCCTTCTTAGCTACAGTCCCAGCACCACAAAATACCAGACCAAAGCAAAAGGAATATTTGGTTGTGTGGAGAGAGACAGGTGTACACCTTGGAACTTAGCATAGAGTTTTTTTCCCCCAGAGTTTTCCCTTAGTGGGTCACATGCGACCAGTGCTTATACAGACTCTATTAACCACTAAGTCATATTATCTAATATAGTCATAGCTATAGAGAACACTTTTTTTTTTGGTGGGGGGTGTCTTGCTGTGTAGCTCAGGCTAACACAGAACTTGCTATGTAGCCTAGGATAGCCTCAGACTTGCATCAGTCCTCTTGCTTTAGCCTTTTTAAGTGCTGAGATTATAAGTTTCTATCACTATACCTGGTTACCAACAAGTCTTTTATTATTATCATTTTTTAAAAGATTTAGTTATTGTATGAGTACACTGTCTTTGTCTTCAGACATACCAGAAGAGGGCATCGGATCCCATTACAGATGGTTGTGAGCCACCATGTGGTTGCTGGGAATTGAACTCAGGACCTCTGGAGGAGCAGTCAGTGCTCTCAACCGCTGAGCCATCTCTCTAGCTCCTGTGTTTTACTATTTTTGAGACAGGTTCTCTCTACATAGCCCTCGATTTCTGGAACCTCTACTCTGTAGACCAGGCTGGCCTTGAACTCACAGAGATCCACCTGCCTCTGCTTCCCCAGTGCAGGGATGAATGGTGTGCGATCAAGTCCAGCCTGATAATTTCTTTTATTCTAAAATATTTAAAAGAATATCTCCCACTCTGTTCCTTCTCTTCTTCTTCCTCTTCTCTGACTTATAGCCCAGACTGGCTTCAGACTTACTTTGTAGTCACAGGTGACCTTGAATTTCAGATTTTTTTTTTGTCTTTCACCCCTCAAGTATTGGAATTACAGAACTATCCCCAGTGTATTTATGGGGTGCTGAGGATGGAACCCAGGGCCCGTGCAGGCTAAGCAAGCACGATCAACTGAGTCACAATTTCCTTTTCTTTATTTTCTTCCCTTCCCTTCCCTTCCTTCCTTCCTTCCTTCCTTCCTTCCTTCCTTCCTTCCTTCCTTCTTTCCTTCCTTCTTCCCTCCCTCCCTCCCTCTCTCCCTCCCTCCCTCCCTCCCTTCCTTCCATCCTTCCCCCTAGACTACATAGCACAGGCTTGTAACTTGAGGCCTTTAATTTACTTCCCAAGTGCTGGGATTATAGGCATGAGCCACCACACCCTCTGATTTGCCTTCACTTGGACAAAGTTAGTCAGGGCCTACCAACACTTCCCTCTCTCCAAATAGTGCCCATTGGAATAAGTTGGGAAGCTTTACAACATACTGATGCCCAGGACTTACCTTAGGTAATTTCTGGAAACATGTTGGTAATGCTGTAAGCAGTCAAAGCAGTCACCACTGTTCTGTTCTGTCTCTCTAGTTGGAAAGCACTGGATAGGGGTATAGAGGGACACAGAAATTTATATTTGTGGAGGCACGCATTTAGTTACTCCCCCCCCCACCATGTTTAGTGCTTTCACTACAGGATCTCCTTTTGTAGCTCAGGTTGGCCTTAAACTCACCATCCTCCTGCCTGTACCTCTACAGTCCTGGGATAGCGTGTGAGTCACCACCTGGCAAGGGTCATGGCAGTTAGGTACTGAAATGCTCCTTTACAGACGCAAACCAGTACAAATATGTTCAGAGAAGGAGTCCCCCACATAACCTTTAGAAGGGTAACAAAGTCAGACAGAGCACAGACTGGAAAAAAAGGAAAGATAGTAACGAGACGAGGTTCTAACTTCAGGAATGAACCCCATCTATGTCATAATACCCTTCTCTTTCAGCTCACCTGTTCTTCTGGATCAGCCCTGCCCGAAGGCTGGGGCTCAGAACCAGGCCCCAAAAGGCCAGGCTCCAGTTTGCCCCAGTCTCAGAAAAGTTACTCCATCCCTCACCCCCCTTCCCTGGCCTGGTGGGGCCTGGCTTTGGGGCAAGATTGAGCCACAGGGGAAAGGGGACCCCCATACCTGCTGCTGCTTCCTCTGTCTTGGCTAACTGTAGTCCCCCTGAGCCCCTAACCATACCTGAAGAACTCCCGAAGCTTGAGACCAGGGCCATGTGGCCCCAACTTCCTGCCTGGCCCCGCTGTTGCAAGTCTGTGTTATTTATTACCTGGAGGCCTGCTCCATCCTGTCCCGGGCCTCCATAAAGCGTTGTTTACACCTGTGTTTCGGCCTCTGTCATTCTGAGATGGGGAAACAGAACCGGTCTCTAATGGAAGCTATGAATGGGCCTTTGCATGAGGAGCCATGTTTCTGGGTGGGACTTGGTTTGTGAATACACTGGGGTACATCCTGGCTTCCATACTCATTGAAGACAGAGTTTTTCCTACACTCCCTCACCCCTTTTTTTTTGACACAGGGCCTAGTTATAGCCTAGACTAACCTGGAATTTGAGGTCTTGCTGCCTCAGCCTTCCATGCGCTGGGATTACGAGTGTGCCCATGCCCAGTGTGTATACATACCTCATGGCAGTACATGATCCATTAAAGCTGGTGTGTGCAGCAAGGACATCCCTGCGTGTGACGTGTATGAGTCTCTCCAGGACGACTTGTGTCAGTAGGAACATGTGATGCTTTGGCATGTGTGTAGTCTCTGGGCTGGTGACTGCTGGTGAGGCTGCTGTTGTGTGCAACATCAAGACCAAGGAGTTGGGAATCTAAGGGGGGCCTTGATTCTGTGCCTGGTATGCCTTAGTGTATGTCTCATGTCTGCAAACTAGGACGGTGGCTCACTGTGTTTCTAAGAATGCGTGCACCATGTAGATTTATTTCTTTGTATGTGTCCGTGTGCCTGTGAGCATGAACACTGTTCTCCATGTGCCATTGTGGTTCTTGTGCAACCTGGACTCCTGGTCATGCTTGATGTACCCTGATGTCTTTATATGGCCTTCTGGAGACAGTGCAGTCCCCTCAGGACAGCGTCAGCTGCTTTCACAAAATGTCAGCGAGTATCCAACCCCACTGACTGCCCACTTGATAGGCCCAGGAGTTGGTGGAAAGCGTGGGGCATTCAAATAACCCTAGCCACATAGCCCTCCCCAGAACGGTGGTATAAATGGTAGGAGTAGCTTAGTGGTAGAGCGCTTGCATCGCATGTGCGAGGCTCTGGATTCAGTCCCCAGCACTACATAAACAAAAAAAAATCCACCTGGGCTACAGACGAGCTGGGCTTTGCAAATGTCTTCCCTGTGAGTCTGTCCCAGGTTGCTTTAATCTGACTCCCACAGTTGCCCTGCGGGAGCAGCGAGGAGCAGGTCAGGCAAACAGTACACATTTGCTCATTTGTTCTACCCGGTTTCGCTTCTCTAAGGACATCCCGTACTCACCGTTATTTTTTTTTTTTAAAGTGCTTATGTAAATTACTGGCGTAGGAATTTACATACACTTTCCAACTAACTGCGCAGTCATTTCTCAATATCCCCTTGGGTTGTGTGCTGGAGCGGCCCATGTAAATGAGACATTTGCCTAGCAAATGCCAAGAACCCAGCTGCTAGCCAGTCACTGACACTTTTGGCGCTGAGGGGTGGTCCTTTCGGGGTGGAACTGCTCATCTGTATCCCCCCCCCCCCCCCCGCCTCCCAGGGGCCGTCTTAAGAACTCACAGAAGGTCTTTTCCTGAGCCTGCGTGTTTGCTTTCGCGTGGAAGGGGCGGAGCACATAATGCAAATGAGCCTCGCGTCCCGGATCGGCTCGCTTCTTCCTCGGGTAGGGTGTTCTGAGCCTCCTGTCACCGTGCGGTTCGCGCACGCGTAGTCTCCTCGGCCGGGCCGCGGTCACGTGCCCAGCGGGCGAGGCGGGGGCGGGGCGTCGCGGGCGGTGGGGGGCGGGGCATGGCGCGCTGCGAAGCGCAGGGCGGCTGGCACAAACGGCGGCGCCGAGGCCGGAGGAAAAAGCTCGGTGAGGAGGTCGCGCGAAGGGAAAGCCCTGGGAAGGAGAAGGAGCCCGAGGCCCGGTGGCCGGACGCGGGCGACGGGGCCGGAGGCAGGAGGCGGGAGCGCGCGCGGGCGGCAGCGACTCCGCGCTCGGGGGTTGGGGGTGGGGAGGGAGGCGCGCGCCGGACGCGGGGGGGCGGACCCTCGGGGGCGGCGGGCGCGCGCAGCAGCCACCTGGGGGGAGGGGCCGGGCCGACGCGGCCCCGCCTCAGTCGCCTGCGGCGTCCGGCGGCCCCTGGGTCGCGTTGGAGGGGGTTGGGAGGGAGGCAGTCCGGTCGGACTCTCCTCTCGGACTCCCTTCCGTCTGTCCGTCCGTCTGGCAGGCCCTCCCTTCCGGCTGGGTGTGTGTCGTTCCCCAGTAGGCTTCCTCCCGTAGGGCACAGGTCGACCCTACCGGCCCTCCCGCTCCCCTGCCGTCTTGTTTTTCTCCCTGTTCTCTTTGTCCCTGGACTCCCGGTTTTCCCCGCCTGCTCTGGCTCCTGGCCTTCCACCCAGGAGATCTGGTTTCCGCGAATGTCGCGCGGTGGCATTGCCTCCTGGTTCCCCACAACCCCGACTTACCCTAGATTCCACCTTCCCGTTTTCTGTGTCATCCTCCCTACTCATCTCTCTGAGTCTCTATAGAAACCTCAGGCAGGTACCTTGTATTTCCCACTTCTCATCTTTGCTTTTCTTGCTCAGATCCCTCTGTCTCCCAGTTGCCTTCCTCTTTGGGCCATCCATGCAGAGTTCTCTGCACTTTCCCTCTATTACTCTTTCTGCCAGACAGTCCCTCTCGAATTCCCAAGTTATATGCTCCATGTTGTCTCAGCGTGTGTGTGTGTGTGTGTGTGTGTGTGTGTGTGTGTTTGCTGTGGCCCTGTCTGTCATCTGCTTACTCTTAGTACCATCCCCACCCCTTCCCACCTGCTTGTTTCTGACTTCTCTTAAGTTCTTCCTTTTCTCTTTTCCAGCCACCCCCATCAGTCCCTTCTCAAGCTCCTAGGGACAACTGTGGACTTGGGGACCAGCGAGCACCCCCACAGCACTAGACGAACCCCTGCCGCCTGCCCTGCCTCACCCTGCCCCACACGAGGCCCAGCGGCCTCGGGCTGCATCAAGTGGAGGAGGAGGAGGTGGAGGAGGGTGGCACCATGGGCCCGGGCCGTGCCCTCCATGCCCGGGGGATGAAGACACTGCTGCCATGGACAGCCCGTGCCAGCCGCAGGCCCTGAGTCAAGCTCTCCCTCAGTTGCCAGGGACTGTGTCAGAGTCCTTGGAGCCTAGCCGAGCCAGAATGGGGGTGGAGAGTTACCTGCCCTGCCCTCTGCTCCCCTCCTACCACCGTCCAGGAGCATCTGGGGAGGCCTCTGCTGGCAATGGGACTCCCAGAACCACAGCCACTGCTACTACTACCACTGCCAGTCCCCTGCGGGAGGGCTTTGGTGGGCAGGATGGTGGTGAGCTGTGGCCACTGCAGAGTGAAGGTGCTGCCGCGCTGGTCACCAAGGAGTGCCAGCGACTGGCGGCCCAGGGTGCCCGGCCTGAGGCCCCCAAGCGGAAGTGGGCCAAGGATGGTGGGGATGCCCCTTCACCCAGCAAGCGACCGTGGGCCAGGCAAGAGAACCAGGAGGCCAAGGGGGAAAGTGGAGTGGGCTGTGACAGCGGTGGCGGCAGCAGCAGCAACAACAGCACTACCAGTAGCAGTGGCGAGGCCAGTGCTAGGCTGAGGGAGGAAGCCCAACCCTCTGCACCTGAGCGCCTGGCCCTGGACTATATTGTGCCTTGCATGCAGTACTATGGTATCTGCGTCAAGGACAACTTCTTGGGGGCAGTGCTGGGTGGCCGTGTGCTGGCCGAGGTGGAAGCCCTGAAATGGGGCGGGCGTCTACGTGACGGGCAACTAGTGAGCCAGCGGGCCATCCCACCGCGCAGCATTCGAGGGGACCAGATTGCCTGGGTAGAAGGCCACGAGCCGGGCTGCCGGAGCATCGGTGCCCTCATGGGCCATGTGGATGCAGTCATCCGCCACTGTGCGGGGAGGCTGGGCAACTACGTCATCAATGGGCGCACCAAGGTAAGGCACTTTTCCCGGTCAGTGCCTGATGCTTCGGCGGTGTGTGGGTTTTCTGGAGACAAGCTTCTGGGGTTATGTGGTAGGGTGTAGGCAGCTCCACCTTTAGTCACCTCCCTCTAGACTTTGACTTTTGTACCTGAGATAGTTCAGCCTGGTGTGGCGATGGTCCTTGACCTTGGAAGACCAAGAGCCCCTGATGGTCTTAACCCTCCTTAGGCCAAGAGAAGTTAAGCTGGCATGCAGATGGCAGAACCAGAGGGCAGAGGGAAGGCTGGCAGTGCCGAGGTAGCCTAGGCTGAGGATGGGGTGCTCCCTGTCTAGTTGAGCACGAGGTCCGGCCTCCATTCTGCCCTGAGAGCCTACTCTTGGCATCTGCACCAAGAGCAGCTTCCCAGCGGTGACACTGGGTGACAGTGTGCTGGCCCAGGTAGAGCATTTGTCAGCATCTTTCCTACTCCTCCCTGCTGCAGTCCCTGTTCTTCGTCCTCTGACCGTTCGTCACTTACGACCTGCATTTCTCTGACCTCTCCCCTTGACCCTCTGCCTTTATATTTTTCTCCTCTGTTCCCCTTGCTGCAGAACAGTAGTTCTTAGTGTTTTTGAAGTCAAGTCTTTTCAGATAAATCTGCTGAAAGCCATAGACCTTCTCAGGAAAGGCGTTCATTTGGTTGGAGTTTTTGGGCAGTTGTCAGAGTATCCTAAGCCTCCAGGTCATTCAAGAACTAGGGGTCAGGAGCCCTGACCGGACAGTGACCTACCTCCACAGCCTTTCTGGTCTGTTGACATACCCATTTTCTTCATGGAATAGTGTGTAAGTCTGAGGCTCGGTGTCATTTGAATACAGTCCGTTGCGAGTACCTGCTGCTGGCCTACAGTGGTTCTTGGCTGGCGACCTTATAGGCTGTGCTCTGCCCTGTGAGCGGGAGGCTGTACTCCTAATGGTGTCCTTCCTTATCTCTGGGGTCCTATCTTGGGTTCTGCCTAAGTACAGCTTTCTTTTCAGACTGGCTTGGGGACCGTGGTCCCTTCCCCCCCCCAAACCCTCCCCCCCACCCCCCACCCCGGGCCCAGGCCTAGGCCTGTTTCCTCCCCACCCCAGCTGGAACTTGTCCTACTTCCATCTCCCTCCTGTTACTTGATAGCTGGAGAGCCAGAGCTGGCCCCTCCCTGGGTTTGGCT